CAAAGCACATACACACAAGCCAAAATTAATTATGAACAGATAATATTGTATCTTCCACATGGTGATTAAATATATTGAAAATGCACCACAGGCAAAGCATGTTCACAATACTTGTATTAATGTGTTCTATTTAAAAATAAAATCTGTAACCCTAATGTTATAGTTCTTTGCAGCTTAATCCATACTCTATTTGTGTTCATTATATTGTTATTAATAGTTACCCTCAGTAGTGTATTAGTTTACTGTGGCCATCTAAACACAAGCATATTGGGAAAATTAGGGAATTGCCCATAGGAACCAGTTGATTGCAACTTTGTTTTTGTTTTGTTTTTGTAGGCAAATACTTATATTTCCCCTTTGCTCTAGTATTTATATATGTGTTAATTAGTATTTTCAGCACTCTTTATTTTTGTTGTTACCTTTTTTACCTTCTAGGGTTTTATTTAAAACCCTGGTTAAATGCTTAGTATACATACAGTTGTAATTTTTGTCATCAGTGCATATTATATTATTATAGTAAATACAACTATATTAATTTTCTTGAATAAGTGATCTGATCTCCGATCGGGTTCAGTTTTTCAGGCGGATCCAATTGAACCATCCATAGACCTCTATGAACTGACGGGTGTCAGCGGACAAGTGTCTGCTGACACCCACCAGCATCCGCTCCGATCCTGTACGCCAAAAACAGATAGATGGGGATCCGTTCCCTATCTGTCTGGTGAATCAGATCGGATGGCAGTTGGATGGAAATGGAGAGGCAGTCCATTTACATCCAACTACCCCATAGAAAACAGCGGGCAGTGTCTATGTCCACTCTGCAGCAGGGGGTTCAGCAGAGAGATCCCCTGCTGAGCAGGCTGATCTGCTGACAGGTCTGCCCCATCTGAAAGAGGCCTTAATGAAAAAGTTCTGAGTGTGGAAAAACAACCTCTTTTTCCAGTAGGGTGAACAGTTAACCTAATTCTTGAAGGTGAAATATAGCAGGGAATTCCGTATGTAAATTATACCCCCCCCCCCCACTTAATTTACAGGAGAAGGATCTAGCATGTGACAATAAAGAGAAAAAACAGTTAGGAAGAGGTCCAAAAGACAAGGTTCACCAGTTCATCAGGGCATACCAAAACCTAATTTTCCCACCCCAACAACACACACACACGTACACACACAAACTTCTGTACCTCCTCCTGGGTATCAGAGAGTTAAAGAAGGCTGAATGATACCAATTTTTAGGAGAGGTTGATTCCTCTTTAAACTTTGACCTGAAGCTAATGTGTAGATGGGTTGTTCAATATGACTTCCTCCTACTAGCCTTACCAGTTGGAATATCTGGTGGGTTATGTTGGAATTACTGTAGAGGGGTTCAAATTTTTTGTTTAAAAAGCAGTGTGCATTTTTTACAATCCCCAATTTTTGTTTTGCTAGCAACAGGTTTAGACTACAATTCAAAATATTCACTGCATAAAAAAATAATGTGCATCTGTGGCAACAATCATTTTAGAGTACATTCAAGGCAAAATATGACAGATATTAGCCTTGTAAACTGGCCTTATTATAATCATAAAGTTTACATAAACAAAATTAATTTCATTTAAATTTTTCCACACAGGTACATTTTATGGTGAAGTGTAAAACAAAAAGAAAATTACAGTAAAATGGGGTTCTGAGGGCCTGAAATTGATAATGAAGGCTGTTCACTTTTTTTTCACAGTTCATTCTTTTTCCTTTGTCTTTGTTCTTGTTTTCCTTATTGCATTTCAAATAAATAAAAAAACGTTATTTTGATCAAATAGAAGAAAGTTGCAGCAAATATATTGATTCACTGAAATAAGGACAAGTGCCTCTAGCAAAGAAACTAATTTGGAACAAACTTGTAAAAAAGAGACATAAAGTGTCAGCAATTTTCGATTCAAATTGTCACAAAACACATTGTTTTAGCCTGACACAAAAGAGAAATATACAAATAAAACAAATGCTAAAAGAAAGGAAAAGTCAAAGGCAAAAAGGATCTAATGGTCATTGGCAGGTGGTTTACTAAGTGAAATAAAGTGAAAGAAGATGAAGTAGGCTTTAAACACCCACTTGTGTGCACATAAATAAAGAAAGCTAACATTTTCTGTACAAGATTTGATGATTGAGCAAAAGCAGGTTCACATCACTTTACTTCATTTGCTCTACTACATTACCTCCTTCTGTCTTCACTGTTGAAATGTTCACAGAAAGAATATATATATCTATATATGCCCTACGGTAAATAAGGATATTGAGATTCACTGTGGAATTTCCATGGACATTTCAGTACAAATCCGCAGGGTGTATTATGTAACTTAGAATGATCCTGTAGTTTAGCTCCCGGCAAAGCTTGCTAAAGTTCATGTAGCTGTAACTTAACTTTTTCTGGCTTTCATTAGAGCACTAAAAAACAACATCTGATTATATAAATTATGGGCAAAGAAAAAGAAATCATATACAAGTGGATAATGTAAAAGAAAATTTTTTTTTTATATATATGGTATATATAGAAACCTATCAAACTGCAGCAAACCATTTTCTTAGTGCAGGTTAGGGACTATTAAAACTGAATAATAATGCATAGTGAATCAAATTAAATAAAACAAAAAGCTCTAGAACTATTACATATACTGAATTAATGTGTGAAGTACAGATTGAGATTTATGTTATCAGACCTAACATCAGATATTTTTTGTTGAGTGTTTGCTTTATACATAATGTGGAAATTAAACAGTTACAAGACCTTATTAGGTTTTTAGAGATTTAATATTACTACTTTTTATAGTGTCTTCACCTTCCTGTTCCACTTGAAGGAGGGTGACATCTTTGTTCAGGCATCATCCATGGTCATCATTTACTTCCTGGACTAAGATTCTGGCCCTTAGGTGACACAATCATGCACATTTTAATTCTTGTGTAGTAGTATTTCTGTTCCTGTCGGTGTGTATACAGATTATACCACACTGATCAGCCTACTGATGTTGCCTATCAATCTGTGACCACCCAAAAAACACTGATCAGAGAGATCAGAGAGGACAGTACCCATTGGGTAAGAAAACAACTGTTTATGCTCCAAAGGCAATAAAGGAGGAAGCAAGGGAAATTTCCAGTGGCAGTAATAAAAACCTAATCCTTCCCCACTCTATCCAAAAATAAATAAATAAATAAAATATAAAAATGTTTGGCTGGAACTGAGTTCCCTACTATTATTTCATAATTTCAAACATTAAACCAAACTGTGCACTGATGCTTAATATTAGCCAAAACATATTAGCATGGCTCTTGCAATAACCTAAACTTTTTTTTAATTGAAAACATGGAAAAGTGGCTTAATAACTTTGGACACGATTCTACATAAAACTACAAATTACAGCCTAAATGAATTGGCTTGTTAAATTACACATTTTTCAAAAAGTCATTGAGAATAACTAGACTTACAATAAGTTTATAATAGACAAGCCATTGAAAGATTAATTTTTACTGGTTACTAAGAGGCCTATTGCGCCATGCTGTTTGTTCTATAACATAAACCTAATTAGGATCTAAAAAATAAACTGCACCAGCAACTAAATCTTGTACTTAAAATGATAAATCATTTACTATTTCGGTTTTTTCTGACCTTTAAGATTTGCTAAAACTGATTTTGATTGACATTCAGCAGCTTTTGTCTTAGTTTACTTGCCCTATTTTCCTCCTTTGCAGTCCTTTGTTTTATGCTGTTATTATTCAGCAGGATGTATGCTTTGGTAACAAAAGAGATTCCTTATTAAGAATGGAAAATGTGCATGTTTGTGGTTTGAATGCTTATTTTTTAATGAGGTATGCTTGATGATCTTGGGCAGATTTGATTTCCTGAGTCTTTTGAGAAAGAAGGCCCCCTGGAGAGTGCAAGGTCATTTTACATCTTTGTTGATTAATATTTAAAAAAAAAACATACATTGTCTTTTACAACAACAACATATGCTTTGTAAGATCATATAAAATATAGTTTGATCTGCTACATGTGGGCACAGCATGATATATAATAGTATATGCATTTGGCAATATGCACACTTCACAAGTTGTATAAGCTTGTACAAAATTACTATATTTTTTGTCATCTTATTTTCTACTGTAAATGTTCAACACAATAAAGATCATACATATGATAAGGTAACTGAGCTGTATATACCTATCGCCTGCAAAATGGAGAATGTGTGCCCATTCAGAAAAAAAGCCGTGGCAGAGCTAAATGTTTTTGTGTACATCTGGGCAAACTGCAATACAAATTGCATTCTAGTTTAAGGTCCTAATTTGGAGAAATTACAATACAAATCACAGTATGACTCAAGATGTTATTTTAGTAAATTGCAATATATATCATTGTTAGATAAAAAACAGATTCACTTTAGAATAAAAGCTCCCTAGTCCTCCTCCTTAGCCCTTATACCATTCTAAGCTAACCATCCACTTAAATTCCTACTTACCTCATTCCAATGGTGACAGCCTTCTGCTGAGTTTACAATTTCAGTGGCAAAATCTAATCTGATGCTACCTACATCTACAGCAACTTCAATAAACTTGAATGGACTGTACCTGTACCCAATGAGCAAGGCTCATTTCAAGTATAGAAAGTTAGTTTGTGGACAATGCAGTTTGCTTAACTGAGGCTATAAACACAGGGGGTCTGCCACCATCAAAAAAGGTAAGTATGCACCAGGGTAGGGTGGGAGGGGTAGCATAGGATAAAGGGTTGGGAAGTTTTGGGGGGGTTTTTTTACCTAAGGTGAGCCTGACCTTAACAAAACCCACTGCTAAAAGTAATGCCAGTATTTTCTTTTTCTACAAATGTTGAAAACTAACCCATAGTTACATAAAACAATTCTTACACATATTTACATATAAAAAACAATTTATCTTTATTATTTCTGCACACCTAAATCTGAACTTTTCATAAATGATCATCATCATACAGTTAGAATATATGTATGATAACTATGAAAACTAACCATAATTTGAGCATGTCCATTTGGAAAGGAACTTGAGGAGTCTGCATTTATTGGATCCTGACAGTTTCTAAGCCGACATCTGAAAGCATCCTGGACCTGTAAAAACAATATATATATACTATCATTTACAAAATGTATAAACTCATATTTGATTTGTGCTACCTCATTTTCTATAACAGGTTCATTTTCAAATACGAACTCTTCTTTAGACAGTAATGCAGGCCATTGCACTGATTTCCCTAAACTCTAGAAAAAGGGAGTGAGTCTGTTTACTTTAATTACAACTAGATGAGTCACAGTGTTTTGATAAGAGAAAAACTGCAGAAATTTAGAACACATTTATAGTGAGATTTATTTCAGGGAAAATGGCTCTGGTGTGCCAAGAGTCCACCACATCAGGGACTGTATGCGAGGTTTATGAAGTCTCAATCATACCGTTGTCTCAAACAGCTCCAGACCCTTATGTGGAGGCCCCCTCGCCTCTTACCCAACAATATATTCACAGCCTATCAAATGACTTATAGAGCCCTGCCCTGCTTTATGATATATATTTCCATTTATTTTGTAATGTGCGTGATGGTGTGTTTGCTATATTTTAATAGGATTTTAAGAAGATCTAGTTAGATAAAGCACAAATTTTTCTCTTTTTTAAACTGTTCTATTTGTGATAGTAATGCTTTTGTTCCGGGAGATGTCAATAAAACATTTTAAAAAACAGTAAAGCATTAGCTGCAGATGTACTTATAATTTAGTGCTGCAGCAGGCCATACATCTGCTTTAAGGCAGCTGGTGAAGAGTTAAAGAAAGAAGCATAAAAGGAGCAAAGGGAGGATAAACATATGAGAGATTAACATATTTTTATGTATTTGGACAAAAGGAAAATTGGTTGTTGCTGATAGTATCCAACTATGTTGCAGCCAAAACATATATTTGCATAAGGTTCCCCTGGTAAAGTGTGTCATGCAAATCACTCTGTATTTATGTATATACTGGAACAGGAAATTTCATGTGATAGAGGATTCCCTACAGGCAATTGCACCATGAACAGTCAACTGTAAGCTCTGTACTGTGATAAAGACATGCTACATGCTGCTGTTTCATTGGGTGATCTTTTTCATGTAGTAAATGGAAAACACCTCTGTCTTGTATTTAACTGAAAGATTTCAAATGAGCCTCTTGGCATTTAGGTAGGTCTGACTTTCAGGTGAGTGTCTAGTCTATCATTTCCTTCTGAGGCCATGCAGGCTCCATGGCACTTCCATTTCCTTGCTGTAATGGATAAGGGGAAACACAAGAGAGACTAATGTACAACATGAATATGTAGCAGAGGTGTCCTAAAATAATAAATGCAGGCATTATTTTCACATATGGATCAGCCCATGCATTTCCATGGAAAGAGGAAGCTGTGAAAATAACCATTGTTCACCTTTACCAAAAAACTGCCTATGCAGATAAGGGACATCTGTAGATTAAAACAAAATGTGCAGCGTTAATTAAAGTTGAATTATGCCCTTGCTATAATTGTAGGCTATTTATCTACTTTATGGAGCCTGACTCCAAAACATCTAGGTCATTGCTAAGGATGCTGCCAAGAAAAGCCTAGCGTTACTATTCACCTTCACCATCCCAGGACCAGACTCTCTCTCTGATTCAAACTCCCTAACATGTGCTTCTTCTACTCTTGTCCATTAGCTCTGAGCTCAGCGTTTGAGAACTCATTCCTGTGATGGAGAAGGTGAGCAATAACACAGAGTTCCTTTTAACAAAATCCTAGAGCAAAGACATTATTCATCTTTAGTCAAAGCTGCACAGCTTGTTTTTATCTACAGCCGACCCTTATCTGCATAGGACATTTTTTGGTAAAGGTGAACTATCCCTTTAACCACATACCGCCCAGCCACTGTAGAAATACGGCGGCAGGGCGGCACGGCTGGGCAAAACCACGTTTTAAAACTTGTGTTTTTAAAACAGGTAGGGGGCGTGGCCGCCCTATCTGTCCCGCCGATCACGGCCGCGGATGTCAGTCACCAGTTCACAGCCGGTCGTTACCGGCTGTGTCCCGGCGATTAGCGGCAATCAGTGACAGAGAGCACAGCTGCAGTAGCTGTGCTTTTTGTCAGTTCCCTGACAGCTCCTGACATGCTGATCGGGACAGAAGAGTTTATCTGTCCCGATCAGCGGTGTTCCCTGCAGTACACACCCCCGCCCCCTAGTAAAACACTCCCCTCACACAGCTAACCCTTTCACTGAATAATAAAGTTAACCCCTTCCTCCCCAGCGCCATTAGTACAGTGTCAGTGGTTTTTTTTTTTTGCACTGATTACTGTATTGGTGTCACTGGGGATGTCAGCGACCCCAATCAGTTCCCCCCAGTGTCAGAATGTCCGCCGCAGTCCCGCCATAAGTCGCTGATCGCCGCCATAAGTCACTGATCGCCGCCATTATTAGTATAAAAAAAAATTAAAAATCCCAGTATCTTTCCTGCCATTTGTAAACGCTATAACTTTCACGTAAACCAATTAATTTACACGTATTGGGGTTTTTTGTAGCAAAGACATGTCGCAGAATGCATTTTGGCAGAAATTTATGGCTAAATTTGATTTTTAAATTTTTTTTACTGGACATGTTTTATAGCAAAAAGTCCAAAATATTGTTTTTTTTCCTCAAAATTGTCAGCCCTTTTTTTTATAGCGCAAAAAATAAAAAACGCACGGGTGATCAAATACCACCGAAAGAAAGCTCAATTTGTGGGGAAAAAAAAGGATGTAAATTTCATTTATGTACCGTATTGCATGACCGCGCAATTGTCCGTTAAACTAGCACAGCGCCGTATAGCAAAAAAATGGCATAAATTGCAGTATCTATACCATAGTTTGTAGACGCTATAACTGTCACACAAAGCAATCAATATACACTTATTGGGATTTTTTTTTACCAAAAACATGTAGCAGAATACATTTTGGCCTAAATTTATAACTAACTTTGAGTTTACTATATATTTTTTATAGCTGAAAGTAAAAAATATTGTTTTTCTTCAAAATTTTTGGTCTTTTTTTGTTTATAGTGTGAAAAATAAAAAGCGCACAGGTGATCAAATACCACCGAAAGCTCTATTTGTGTGAAAAAAAGGACATAAATTTCGTTTGGAAGCAGCATTGCATGACCGCGCAATTATCAGTTGAATCAGTGCAGCGCCGAGTAGCAAAAAGAGGCCTGGTCTTTAAGGGGGGTAAATCCTCAGGAGGGCAAGTGGTTAAAGTATCTTAGAGATGTCCTGCCCAATGATGATAAATAAAATGTGGCAGGCTCTTTGTAAGGTACTAAAAGGTGGTTGTATGGAAAATAAAGTATAAGATTGTTTTTTTTTCTTTCATTCTGTAAACTACTGATAGTAGTGCCTGATAGAACAGCTTTTACACAAATACAATGAGACACAAAGTAAATATTGCACAGCTGTCAGATTTGAATACTGCCCACGAGGTGTAGTGGTGGTGAAAAGTTCAGAAGTGAGCTATATGGAATTGTTCTATTTGCCTTTATTTACTTTGTTAAATAGAAAAGAGAGTGTGGCAGCAGAGAAACCATTCAGTGCGCTGCCTTTATCAAAACCCTGGCTAAATTAATGATCATTAATTTAGGGGTTGAGAAGAAGTGTCAATTAATGCTTCTCTTATATGATTGTTGACATACTAAGACTGATTTACTAAAGAATTTAAAGTGATATTGAAAGACTGCTTAAAGACGGCCCTATAGCAGATATACTGATTTTGCATTTCCAGGTAGGGGGCGCACACGAGCCATGCACGCGCCTTACCCATGCAGCCATTTGTGACTTTCCATGTCAATCAACGGGTCCCGGCCAGTAATACCCACCGGTGCCCAGTGATTACGGAGCATCTCCGATGGGAAGGAAGATTGTTTTGTTTACAAACAATTTTCCTCCGTCAGCTCAAGCACACTGCTCGGGATGGCTGTACACAGTACAGCCATCCCAACCAGTGTGCTTACAGTGAAGAACACTCCCCCGCCCCCAAGTAAAACACACACAGCACACAGTTAACCCTTTGATCGCCCCTCACATTAACCCCTTCCTGCCCAGTGCCATTGGTACAGTGTCAGTGCTTTTTTTAGCACTGATCACTGTATTGGTGTCACTGGAGATGTCAGTGACACCAAGTTAGTTCCACCCCAGTGTCAGAATATCCACACAGTCCTGCAGTCCCGCTAAAAGTCGCTGATCACCGTCATTACTAGTAGAAGGAAAAAATCCCATTATCTATACCGCCATGTGTAAACGCTACAGCTTTCACATAAACCAATTAATTTACACGTATTGGAATTTTTTTAGTAAAGACATGTCGCAGAATACATTTTGGCATAATTTTATGATGGAATTTGAATCTTTTTTACTGGACATGTTTTATAGCAAAAAGTCCAAAATATTGTTTTTTTTCAAAATCGTCGATCTTTTTTGCCTATAAACGCACAGGCGATCAAATACCACCAAAAGAAAGCTCAATTCATGGGAAAAAAAGGACGTACATTTTATTTGGGTGCAGCGTTGCATGACCGCGCAATTGTCAGTTAAAGTAACGCAGCATTATAATGCAAAAAATGGCCTGGTCATGACGGGGGGTAAATCCTCAGGCGGGCAAGTGGTTAAAGGCTTTTTTTTTTAAAATAACAAGCATGTTATACTTACCTACTTCATGCAATGGCTTTACACAGAGTAGCCTCAATCCATGGGTCCGCTGCCTGCACTCTTGGCTCCACCCCCCTGCCAAGTGCCCCCATAGCAAGCCACTTGCTCTGGAGGCACTTGTTCATGCTCGCTCCCAAGCCCCACTCTGTGTGTCTATAAGACTCAAAGAACGGGGCTCAGCCCCTCACCTGCTACCTCTTCACTTGCTGTGGTTGACCATTGACCGTAGAGGGAGCCACTGGCTCCTGCTGCTGTCTCACAGCCAATGACAAGGTGCAGATCGCTGAATCGGGCTCTGGCTCAGTTAAGTAGGGGGCTTCAGGGGGAGCTGCATACTGAAGGTTTTTTACCTTCATGCATAGAATGCTGGATGGTGAAAAAAAAACTTCAGGGT